GAGCCAGATGACACTGCCAGCTGTAGATTTCTAGAACAGTGCTGTTAAGTGTTTTGGCTAGGACGAGCACAGTTTGGAAAACAATGTTTTGATAAGGAGGTTAAGGTATTATATATAATAGCAGTATGAGAACTAATAGCATTAAAATAACTTTAGGCATTAATAAGTAGCTTTAGTTTTTATGATGGCCTTTTCTGTATTATACTCACTACTAAAACTGTTTTTATCTTTGTGGTTCTTTGTTTCATTCAGATTTTGTACATTATGAGTTAATGGCTGTAGCTGAGTAAAACACCCTTTACTCATTTGTTTTAGGATAGTGCATTGTTTGAAGAAAAGGAAATATCTGTATATGACGTTAATGTCTTACAAATCAATACTTCTTTACCATTAACTCTTCTCTCCAGTGCAATATCAAATACTGTAAATGCTGATTAATGAGTCCAACCCTTTTACAGATGTAATTACAATCTATTTGTTGTGTGGTTGTTCAAACCAGTTGTGAAAAAGACCGTGTGATTGTGACATCAGGGTTTCCCGCAGCACTTTGCAGCTAAGGCGGCCGCCTTAGCAACACACACCTTCCGCCTTGACTACGTCGTCAAAAAAAAAAAAAGTAGGATGATATGAGCAATATGAGCGATATCCGCCATGTTACTATCCTGTTTTCTCCCTTTCATTCCAAACCGTGTTGCCTTTACACGTGGTTGTCTTATAGCTATACGTTTGATGATTGCACGTGATTTTCTCTCGCATTGCACACAGCCAAATGGACAGAAAAAAGCAACCACAAATTGTGGCCTTCTTCGGAGGCCTACCTCACCATCCGCCCCCCCCCGGTCTGATGGCAAGCAAATCCCCACCCCCCACCCCGGTCTGACGGTCGACCACCTTGACTAACACATTTCCTGCGGGAAACCCTGGACATGCCTAAAATGTCAACTTTTCAGGAACTGAGAAAATGTGCTCTTAGTCTCAGTGCCCTCATCTCTGAGGGAAGCAGTGCAGAGGTTAAATGGTGCGATGAATCGGCCTGATGGTTGAATCAGCTTCAGAAATAGAAAGCAGAAGAGCAGACGGAGCAGTGAATGTGGGCTAAGCCCTGAGGAAAGAGGCTGCACTGAGTCAATGCTCACTGAGCCCTGCTGTATCACTTACTGCATCTATACATAACTGGGGCACAATTAACATGCAAGCCATTGCACAGCTATAGGCCCCAGACTGCAGCTCTGAGATTCTATACAAAGACACAGATATACAGTATGTCAAATGGCCAACATGCCCCGCTAACATCCTCTGTAATCTCTCTATTATAACAGAAACTGATCCCTGTCCATATCTATTTGGAGATGTAGAAACCAAGAGGAAGGTTCTGGAGGTTCAGACACACGTTTGTAAAATATGCATGTATCTGGTTATTACCAATTTTGGATATGAGAAACTTGTTTCCATTCCCTGTGTGAGGGATTAAAAATAACTAAATTAACACAATTAGATTCCTGTGGGAGGAATCAGATCAGTTTCTAAATGTCAAACAACATATAACAGCTTGTTTATTGAAGTTTCTGATGAGCACAAATCAACAAATGTGCAGATGAAAAGATGGAAGTAAGCCGTGGTTGTAATGTAACATGCAGACAGATTTCAGGAATACACTTTCAACCTCGGTGCTCATGCAGCGTTGCAGCTCCATGTGCACTTCAGTTGGTCTGTGCATATAAGAAACCTCAATAAAGTGTTTCCTAAAGGAAGGTGATCCCACCTTTTTGTTTCGTTTAAATCTCTTTTCTCCGTTGCATTTGATCTGGATAACTTGTTTTAGTGTGCAGATGGAAAGGAGCTCTGATTGTAAAGTCACATTTAAATGTTGTCCCTAGGGCTGGGCGATAAATCGATTTTATCGATTAATTCGAAATTGTAGTTAAACACGATTTATTTTTAGGTAAAATCGGTTTTCTCTTGAACTTCCACAACACCGGCGCTCCCTTTGGGCTCCCCTAGGTCAGAGTGCACTGACCCCTCCCCCCCGCCTCTCCACAGATAAACACAACATGGCAGCAAGCCAGGATGAGCTCATCCCCAAAAAAGGCACAGTGTCGTCGGTTGTTTGGAACTGGTTTGGTTTTGTGGCGTCCGACAGCGAACAAACAGCGACCCGCTGCAAAGTTTGTTTGAAAGCTGTTGCAACCAAAGGTAGCAGGACGACCAATTTATTCCAGCACCTCAAGCAGAGGCATGCAGCCGAGTGGGACAAATGTTGCTCTCTGCGTGATATACAGGACCGCAGCCCACAAACACCCGCTAGAAAACAGTCTACAAAAAAAACGATTAAAATCGTAAATCGGGTTTGGTGTGAAAAAATCAGAGATTTTATTTTTAAGCCATATCGCCCAGCCCTAGTTGGAACACACTCATTTTGGGCCTACTGGCAATAATCAAGACAAATTGAGCAGTTGCTAATGTTTCATTCATAAATGAAAGTATAACTGGCCACAGTATATATCAACTGGTGTTTTAGATCTGTCGATCAGGACCCCCAGAACCACATGCTGATGCCACTATTGGTTTCTATCTCATGAGATAAAACCAGGGCAGAAAATATACAAAATTGCATTTATTTTTTACTTTTCTTATTTTATTAATGTGAAATACTGGATAGTTTTACCTCTTCAGGTCGCTATTGATTTCCTTTAAATGAAACAGTATGAGAGGGGAAGATCACGTTTCAATTGAACTGCTCGCTCTTTGCACTTACGTTGAGTTTTTGTAAACCTGTGCTGTGGGGTAGTCTGGAAGATTTCTGCACTTTTTTGACGATTTTTTGAAATTCAGTAATTCCCACCGATGCTTTCGTTACTCTTTGAATTTTTCTCACCATTTCTTGTTTACTCACTAAACTCCATGTATCCATCTACACAGTCACGGAGGTCATTTATCAAACAACACTGTGTGCCACTGAACATATTTGCATGCAACAATGTGTCCGACTTGGTTTCTGTCTCTCGTTCTGTTGAAGTACAGCTGCCTTTAACAGGAGCGGAAAATTCACAGTGCATGTTAACGTCTCTGTCCCTCCTTCCAAAACAGATGAAACCACTCTCTCTCTCCATCTCTCAGTCACAAAAGAAGAGGCAGGTGAGGAAAGCAGGTATGCACTACAGTCACAGAGACCACCCATTAACCGGCAGGGCACAGCTTGTAATACTAGTGCGGAAATGATTAGTCGATGAATCAGTAAGTTGATTAATGAATTAATTTTGAGAATTTATTAATCATTTACAATTGTTCAAAAATGACCTATCACGCCTCTGAACAAACATTTGTGATTTCACTGGGGTATGAGGAATAAGTTCTTTATATCGTCATTTATTCCTCTTCGAATCACTGTGATATCTTTCTCGTTGGACGGACGCAGCACTGACCAAACAGGGGGCTCATCTGCAAGAGTTAAACCACAAATATCTCCAAATAAAATCAATTTGTCACATTCGCAAAAGCAGTCCAGCTGCCGAACGAATGCCAGGTCATCATTACAACCAGAGGTCTGCTTATTTAATGGCATCCGGACCAGATGGAGGAGGTTACAAGTTGAGGTGGAAGGACATGTGGTGGGAGTTGGAAAAAACATGCCTGAAGGGACTTAACAAAGTCAACAGGTCCCACGACACGGCTGACCAGCTGAAGATGGGGCATATTGTGGAGCAAAGAACAAGACTGTGAACAACATTTTACTAATCCGGGCACCGGTCAAGGTAACGTACACGGAGAGCTGGGTACCGAATTTGGATACTTTTATGGCACCGGCCAAATTGCTTCAATAATCTCAAGTATTAAAGCAATGTGTGGTTGAACAGCTTCCTCCTTTAAAGGGAGTCATTTACTGTAATGTGTACTACATATTCTCTTTGCTCAAATGGATTTTATAAAATTGGTATCAAAAGAAGCAGAGTCCAGGAACTAGTATCCAAGTCAAGGTTTCTGTACCGCTACTGATATCAAATATTTTGACCAATACCAAGCACCAGATCCATTTCTCATTTCCTTCCATTGAAGCCCAGTCCAGTCACAGTTCACCTGTGTTGAACTTTGACCTGTGGAATATGGAGACTCCAATGTCCAGCCAGTTTTACAGAGGGTGGGACTAAACTGACCTTCAGAAAGTGTTGACTGTTTATATCCTTGTTTATGGTGAAATACAACAAGCACAGAGTGTGAGACAAGCTGCGTGGCAGCAGTGAGTGCGAGGACAGGGAGTCACAGCATTTGATATTTACTACTGCTGCTGCTGTTAGCCTGCTAGCCAAGTTAGCCTCAGAGGCTTGGGTAGGCAACCTTGCACATGTTATTTCCTCTCCATCAGTTCTGGTCTGACCGCAGCTGTCAGCGGGCCAGGCTACACACACTGCAACGGCTCAAACCAAACGCAGCTCTTGATTCCAGTGGCAAAGAACTTTACCGACCAAAACACCTGTGTGTGTCTGGGCTGTATCGCAACACCCGCTGTGTTGTACCTCTGTATTTGAGGCAAAGATCTTGCTTTAGTTTTTCTCTCCATCATTATACAATCAATCATTTAAGTGTTTGGGCTATTTGAGATCTTAACAGATGAACTGAAAGGCATGGAAATAACAGTGACTTGCAGCTCCACTGTGTGGTATGCAGCCTTTGTATATTTTCAGACAGAAGGTGACCGAGCAACCACTGATTCTACCTTTCAGCTGTGTTCCTGTTGGTTCTTCAACATCACAATCAGGAATGGTGGGAAGATGGAGAAAGATACTAATTTTATTTTTACAATATTGTGCAGAAGGATAGAGTTGGTGGTTGTTTGGTTTGCTGGCAGTCGTGGCTTTTGGGTTTTTATATCATACCACATCACTGGATTGTGTGTTGACACACTCACCGCCTGTTTGTGTGTGTGTGTGTGTTTGTGTGAGAGAGAGAGAGAGAGAGAGAGAGAGAGAGAGAGAGAGAGAGAGAGAGAGAGCACTTCATTTTACCTGGTGAAGAAATCAGCGATGCCGAACCTCTTTGGCATCAGCTTGGGGTCCGAGCTGTCTGTGTGTTCGGTCAGGTCTGGCAACTTGTCCGGTGCGCTCTGCCTGCGACCCGCTTCCATTACGTTCCGAAAGTCCTCTTCATACCCCTCGTCTCCAAAATAAAAGCCCCCATCATCATTGGGGGACAACGGAGTGGCATCACAGCTGAGGGACACTGCGAGGTTGGGGTTAGTTCTCAAACTGTGCGGCCTGATGGGTAAACTAAGGTCACTGAAATCCTCCTCATCCTCCCTGATGGTGGGTTCAGACAGCGGGCTGTCACACTTCCCGCTAGGTGAGGGGAGTTTGGCACTTGATTCTAGGGCGGGGGGGTCGTTGGACGGGACCGGGGTGGGGGGACCGAGGAAGGGAGGGAGCTCTGCCGCAGCTGGTGCATCCCTACCCGGGCACTGAGCGACCAATGTCCCGCTGCAGTCGCTTTGGCTCCTCAGACAAAACCCCGACCCGGCCCCGTTTTCTTGCCCTGCACCCAGGTCGCAATGAATGTCGGTGTTGCTTTCGGGGTCCGAGTCGGGCCAGTCACATGTTGAACTTGCGGTGTTGACAATGTGTAAACCACCGTTGGCTACTTTCACTTCCTCACCTTCCACGTCGCATATACCGAGTCTCTGGCCCAGCAACGGAGTGGGAAACACCCCTGTCTGTTTACAGTAATCCGCCTCGTACCCTGGGCTGTCAACATCCCCGTTGGGCATGTTTACATCTGGACAGGAGGGGGCCGTCGCGGTGCAAGCACAGTTCGGCTGGTGCTTCCCCGTGCATTGCAGCCCATCGAGGGAGAGAGAAGTCCTGTTACAGCCGGTGACTGCGCCGCCGTCAGCCGACTCTTCTCCCGGGCTAACGTCGCCAGAATCCGGAGTTTCCCCTTCGCTCTTGCCCGCAGGGTGCTGCCGCATCTCTCGGCTCGTCTCTGCTGAAACCCGATTCAGGATCACAGCTGGACAGGAAGCTGCTGTGGTTCCTGCGAGGCAGAGCCCTCCTCCTTCCCCTTCTCCTCCTCCTTCTTCTTCCAGCCCGACCATTGTCGGCTCCTCCTGACTGAATGACTCAGTGAATCCGTTCAGGCCGCCGTGGTCGCCGCAAACCCCTGAAATCACACAGCTGTCAGTCAACTGGCCGGGGAGGTACTTCTCCGCCGCGACCAGATCCAACATGATCTCCCTCTGGTGTGGGGGCGGCTGTACCGACGCGTCTCTGTTTACATTCCTCCCGTTACCGGTCACATAAATATGACCCTTCCCAGCTTCCTGACACCCGCTGACACCGGCTAGCAGCGCTGCGCTGTGGTCTTTGAGTGCGATGTAAGATTTAAGAGCCGCTTTTCCCCCTCCTCCTCCTCCCCCCCCTCCTCCTCCTCTCCCTTCTTCGTTCTCGTTCAAGTCGACGGCAAACGACCCTCGGTTCTCCTCCGTGGTTTCCATGACCACTCAGTCCGCCAAGCGAGCCTCGGCCCCGGACGTAAAATCCTGCAACGAGTCCTGCCCCGTCGGCCGAGCTCCGCAGCAGCAGCAGCAGGTTTTGTTGTTCCTGGAGGAAGGGGCTACCATTTTAGCCAGGGATACTTCAGCGTTACCTGACACCCACCGGATGTAACATGTTATTTTCTGGTGTATAAAACAATAATATTTACTCCGTCTTTCGAAGTTTACGTCGCCGCCGAGCAGAAGATTAATTAAATCCCTCAGCGTCTGGCTGCAGCGGCGGCATTCCAGCCACAGTCCAGCGCCATCTTGAAAATACCCCAACAATGACGTCATGCCCCTAAACTCGCTCGCTGTGTTTTGATTCGCTGAAGAGTTTACAGCGACGTTTACTGGTCACTCCGTGTAACTGCATCCGGGATTCCTCACCCCGTTGACCCCGTAAATAACCACAGCCGTGATGAGGTAAAAGTTGCAACGCAACATGTAAAAATTATCAATTTCTCTGGTTTTACTATTTATAGGTATGTGTTTGAGTAAAATTAACATTTTTCTTTTATTCTATAGACTACTGACAGCATTTCTCCCAAATTCAGAAAATGACAACTGGTCAAAATAGCAAAAAAGATAGTGTTTTCAGACTTCGAAAAAAAGAAAACAAGTTAGTAATAAAACAAGTTAGTACTCATTTTTAAATAAAACAATGTGAATGTGGAAGAGAATAACCCTGATTTTCAATCTCAGCTTTCATGCCTCTTGGCATGCTCTCCATCAGTCTTTCACATTGCTGTTGGGGGATTTTATGCAACTCCTGGCGCAAAAGTTCAAGCAGCTTGCTTTGTTTGATGGCTTGTGATCATCCATCTTCCTCTTGATCACATGCCAGAGGTTTTCAATGGGGTTCAGGTCTGGAGATGGGGCTGGCCATGACAGGGTCTTGATCTGGTGGTCCTTCATCCCCACCTTGATTGATCTGGCTGTGTGGCATGGAGCATTGTCCTGCTGGAAAAAACAATCCTCAGAGTTGGGGAACATTGTCAGTTGTCATTGTCAGAAGTTTTGGAGTGGTCTCTTAATTTTCTCCAGAGCGGTATTTTCTTTTAATATGAAGAAACTGCAAGCTCAAATTGTCAAAGTACAGAACTTGCTCTTAAAATGAAAGGTCCTTTTCTACTGGTCCAGTATCAACTTGTACAGTGTGATGTAGAAACATGAAGCCACCAGTGCACATCCACTGAGAATGGACTTTACAGTGAAGGAGGAGACATCTTGTGTCCAGCAGGAAAACTTTAGAAATGAACATTTGCATATTCAGAAATTCTGGAACTTTTAATGAGATAGAAGGAGGAGATGACTTTTTAAGCAATTTAATGTGGAAATTAGACTTCTTTTGCTGAAAATAACCCATCAGACACACATTATTGTTCCAATCAGACTATTTGTATATATGTTTTAACACATGTCACATTTACAAAGACATATATACATGTAGGGGATCTTTAAGTATAAAATACAGTATAAGATAGCATTTAAATGGAACCAAATGATGTCAAAGATGTACAGTACTTCAGAATGTAGTTACTTTCCACCACACCCATGTATTTCATCATATATGTCTATGTATATATATTTATATAGATGAGCTACTGTGGCTCAAATTGCTGAAAAAGTTAAAGCTGGTTTTGATAGAAAGATAGTTATTTAGTTAAGTTATTTTAGCTTTACCAGGTGAGATTTTTACTATTGTGATCACCAACATTGAACATCTGAAGCTCAATTCTGAGGCTGTTCTGTAAATAGTGAGATCCAGGCTTAAGTCAACAATGTCCGGTTATTTCAGACCATGTTTGATTTAACCCCCACCCATTCCGATTACTGATACCTACAATTTTGTAAGTTGGTTAATAGTGTACTGACTCATCTGGCCTAACACTGTAAAATGGACTAAAATAACAATGAAAATACATCACAAAATTCTGAGTATCAAAGACAATGACAGTCTGGGATCAGTAAGCAGATTTTATTATTTGTTGTTTGAGGACAGCATTTTATCAGCGAGGTGGATGCAGAATAAAAACACTGACAATGCAAACAAAATTACATAACTGTTCTCAGAGCTGTTGCTTTATCATACGTTTATCAACCCATCTACTTCACTCTATCGGGTTTATAATTTTGGGCAAGAGACCCAGTTCATAATCAGACTATTAAAAGGTATCTTGCAGAGTATAACTGATAAGTCAAACAAACGAGGCAAAACAACCCACCAAGAGTCATCAGGCTCCTTCGGTTAGAACAACGGATTGTCTTTGGGTTCACTTTCTTTCTCACTGACTGGGTTCTTCATCCGGCAGGTGAATGTTTTAACATGTGAAATCTCAGTCTTGATGATGAGCACGTCCTTCATCGACTGCTGCCACTCCTCGTTGTCCCTCTTCCAGCTGTAGGTGACAGGTTGAGCCTCTTTAGTTTCTTCACCACAGGTCAGCGTGCAGTTGGTAGAAGCAGAGGAACATGTCAGTGGTCTGCTCAATATGAAAGGTTTGGGAACTTCCTCTATCACTTTAACATCATAACGCTGATCCTGGACCTTGTTGTTGATGTCCACTGTGTACAGACCTTGGTGAGCGAAAGTCATGTTTCTGACTTCCAAACGTCCAGTGGTTATGTTCAGGGTTGTGTGGCCTTGAAACGGGATGAAGTAAGTCAACTCAGCTTCACCCTTCGCCCACTCAGCCAGCAGATTACCATTGTGTTTCCACAGGATGTCGGTGATAACTCCAGTGAAAGGAGGCCTCAGGTCTACGTTACCACCAACCACAACGTATTTATCTTCGGCCAGAGCAGAGTTCAGCACCGCCAAAAGCCCCACTGTCAGGAACCAAAACCCAGACTGTTTCTCCATGTCCACTGATCAGACTGGAAGAAAAACACTGAACATTGTAAGTGTTTCAGAAGACAAAATCTTCACATCAGCAAAAACAAGTTCTTTGTAAGTCACCACAGACTCACCTCTTCACAGTTCCTTTGGTGTCCTTCTGGTGCCGTTAGATTCCGTAGTGGTTATACTCCTCAGTGTTTCACTTTTTGATGCGCTGTTATTCCACTATTTGAACAAGTCATTCTGATTTGCCCCTTAGTGTGATGCCATAAATGGAGGGAACATGGCAGGGGGTTGTGGCAGCCAACAGTGTTTCCAACCAATCACAGTTTTGAGCTTCATAAGAGCTTGTGTTGAACTCTGAACCCTAATGTTTTAGGGAAACTGAATTATATTTGGTGGAGAACTGTTATGTACTTCACAAACACACAGTAAATTCTGCATTTAATTAGTTCTCTATAATATCTCAATAATAATATTTAATAATATTGTATTAACTTCGTCAGTGTTAATTAGGAACACAATTCTAAACAAAATGGAATAAAGTGGTCAATGGATAAATGAGAATGAGGACAGTCACACATGCTCAAAATGAACACACTCTCTTCCAGTGGCAGAGCGAATTTGAATCTATGCTTCGCTTCGCTTGCAGTGAAATTTGTCACTCGCCTGCCGTGCCCTAACAGAAAAAGCCATAGAACAAGATGACATGATTGTTGTTGGTTTGACTACCTGATGCAGCTGGAAGTCAGCTCTGAACAACGTCTACAACACGGTTTTAAAAGCCATACAAAAAAGAAATGCTTTCATATTTTATTTCATATTTAACTGCCAAGCACATCACAGTCCCTCTTCGTGGCTGGAGTGCTGACAAGACTTCATCTTATTCAGCGAGCCTCCTCAACATGAAATGTTCGATACAAAGTTCAACTGTTAGGTAAAGCTGACAGGGTGTTTTTTTTTGGCATTTCACTTTATTTGGATAGTGACAGAGAGAGGCGGGAAAGGCAGGAAAAAATGGTCATCTTAGTTATTTGCACTTTCAGGGACCAAAACCCAGGGTGTTTCTCCATGTCCACTGATCAGTACAGAACTAAACACTGATTCAGAGGCTGTAATCCTCAAATCAGCAAAAATGATAAGTCCTTTTTATGTCTACAGACTCACTCCTTTGATGTTCTTCCTCTTTTCTGGTGCCTTTAGATTCTGTAGTGGTGGTAATCCTCGATGTGGTATAGCTGCACTGTTGCATACAGACTGTCTACTTTACTTTGCGTTGGTGTGATGTCACAAATATAGGAAATATGGCAGGGGGTGGGGCCAGCCAACAGTCTGTTTGTAAAAAACCTGAAGTTGCTCGACGTCTTTCCAGATCCATCCGCTTCATATGTTTACAATCTGTAATTCCGTCATCCTGATTGTCCATACTGTAACTTTGCTACTGTATGCTGTTCTCTTATATTAATGCAATATCCTTGACCATGAACAGAAAGTTTAGCACTTTTTTTACACGATTCATCATATAATTACACCTCTTGCTTCACCGTACACACACTGTGTGCAAGGTTTCTTCCTCTTCTATGTAAACAAGTGTCTTTTTGATTACAGATTTGTTGAGCGATACAAAGTCTTCTTCCAGCTTTACTGACTGTCATAAGGACATACAAAAACAGACACAAAGACCTCGATAACAGAGAAAATAAACATAATGGTCCCACAGTTGGGGATGAAATGCCACACTTGTATTGGTCCCACTGTGTCCCAGAAACTGCAAAACTTTCCTACACAGTAGATAAAGGATTTGTTCCTGACTGACATGTTATGTTATCTATATTAATGTTAAATTTGACAGCATTAGACATCAAACTGAGGTGGCTGCTCACCAATAAATGGTGGATGTAAAAACGTCAGTTATACACTAAAAAAAACAATACAGAGCATGAAAAACAAAGATGACTGTAGGATTGTTAAGCAGATTTTTTTATTCATTAATCATCATCAATCATTATTAGGAACTGGCACTTGGCCTGGTGACTTACTTTAATCTTCATGAGGAAATCAGGTGATTGTCCACTTTAAGCTGAATTATGATCATTTCTGTGTTGACGTGGACCGATCAGTTTTCTGACAGTGTCTCGATTTCGCCATGCTAAGAACCCAGCAGTTCCCCAGAGTGCCACGTGTACTGAGACCCTCAACACAACTTCCCAAACTTCCAGCTGCATTGGAAGTTCCTCTGAGAACAACGGATTGTCTTTGGGTTCACTTTCTTTCTCACTGACTGGGTTCTTCATCCGGCAGGTGAATGTTTTAACATGTGATATCTCAGTCTTGATGATGAGCATGTCCTTCATCGACTGCTGCCACTCCTCGTTGTCCCTCTTCCAGCTGTAGGTGACAGGTTCAGCCTTTTTAGTTTCTTCACCACAGGTCAGCGTGCAGTTGGTAGAAGCAGAGGAACATGTCAGTGGTCTGCTCAATATGGAAGGTTTGGGAACTTCCTCTATCACTTTAACATCATAACGCTGATCCTGGGGCTTGTTGTTGATGTCCACTGTGTACAGACCTTCGTGAGCGATAGTCATGTTTCTGACTTCCAAACGTCCACTGGTTATGTCCAGGGTTGTGTGGCCTTGAAACGGGATGAAGTAAGTCAACTCAGCTTCACCCTTCGCCCACTCTGCCAGCAGATTACCATTGTGTTTCCACAGGATGTTGGTGATAACTCCAGTGAAAGGAGGCCTCAGGTCTACGTTACCACCAACCACAACGTATTTATCTTCGGCCAGAGCAGAGTTCAGCACCGCCAAAAGCCCCACTGTCAGGAACCAAAACCCAGACTGTGTCTCCATGTCCACTGATCAGACTGGAAGAAAAACACTGAACATTGTAAGTGTTTCAGAAGACAAAATCCTCACATCAGCAAAAACAAGTTCTTTGTAAGTCACCACAGACTCACCTCTTCACAGGTCCTTTGGTGTCCTTCTGGTGCCGTTAGATTGCGTAGTGGTGCTACTCGTCTTCTGGATTTGGTAAAGTTGCACTGTTAGACTGAGACTACTTAACTGCGCGTTGGTGTGATGTCACAAATAGAGGAAATATGGCAGGGGGTGGGGCCAGCCAACAGTATTTCCATCTAATCACACCAATAGTTTTTGATTTTCTGAAGAGCTCCAATTACACAATTATTATGAAGATATTCCCTTTGTGCAGAGAAAAGCTGCTGACAGTGAATGCAATTAAACAGAACCAAAAGAAGTGTATCAGAGACAGAGTGTTTAAGCAGTTTTACTGAACTTCAGTGCTGCTGCAAAGCAACAGCTAAAGAGGAAGTGGTTCTGGTCATAGCTTTGTAGGTTTGTGGTTTTGTTCTAGAAACAGCCCACCACTTACATTATCATCTGTTTGATGGTGTGTTTGAGTTTTGCCTCTTGTATGTTTTTTATTCTTCTTCCAGGTCTCCATGGTGGAGAGGAGGTCATTTGACTCAGGTCTGTTTGGAAACACCTGAAGTTGCTCGACATCCTCCCAGATCCATCCTGACCTGAATCAATGGTCTAACGATAGACAGTGTTGTATATTGGACAGAATGTGAAGTCCCTTGAGGCACATTTGTGACTAGTGATACTGAGCGAAATGAATATAATTTGACATGACTGGGATGGATAGTGTACCTTTTGGTCATTCAATTCAATAAAAAAACAAAGAACAAAACATCCACTGTTGCTGTTTCTGTTGCTCCTATTTGAACTGAAGAATGAAGAAAGGCAGACAGACTCTTTCCATGAGTGTGATCGTGATGAACAAAATGAGACGTCTAATAACTGGATTCACTGTTGGAACGTTTACTGCCTTTAACAGAAATAGATCATTGAACATTTTAAGGACCCATACAGTATATCTTCATGGAACACATTGGAATAGCATGATTGTACACAATACAAAATGATGGCATATAAAACATCTCAGTCAACATTTGTTTTCTAATATCTTAATCTTTAATTACATATCAATAATATCTAATATATAGTTTAACACTTCAGAGTTAAAGGCACAGGAGGCAAAATGCTCGTCAAGTGTTTACATCTTTAGTTGCAGGGAAAACTTGTGGGGGATGTTACAGCCGCTGTAGTTCAAGCTCAGTTTCACAAAAAGGTAGGAAGGGTTTGTTCAAATGGTTTAATGCACTTTTAAAAGTTTTGCCCAGAGTGGTAGTTTGACTGATGACTATTTCTGCTGTTTGACACAGGTTGGTCCCATTATTAAATAATGTGTTCTATTCTATGCATTAGCTTGGATCTTGTCATGAGCCTGAGAGTCGAGCAAAACCTGACTTTCTCATGCAAATGTTGATGCAATGTTCTCCATCATGACCACATCCTCTGGTGGTTTATTTTAAACTCACCATATAATTGTCTTACGGCTACCAGCACCTCTTGCTTCACCGTACACACACTGTGTGCAGGGCTTCTTCCTCTTCTACATAAACAATAAACATAATGGTCCCACAGTTGGGGGTGAAATGCCACACTTGTCCCACTGTCTCCCACAAACTACAAATCTTTGCTACACAGTAGATAAAGGATTAGTTCCTGACTGACCTTCAGGTTGTAATGCTGCGTGATCATGACTCAATGATTAAACGATTAAAGCTTTGACTAATTTATTAAATAGCTGATTAAATAGCTGCCGTGTATTCCATGATGTTCATTTAATAGTAAATTCAATCGTTATTTTAATTAGAGTTTCTAGTCCTAAAGTTTTGCTAGTATGATACAGCTGAACAGGAGAGTTCATCCCAAAATCAAAAATACATGTTTTCCCTCCTACCTGCAGTGCTATTTATCCATCCATAATTTAACCTGTCAGAGTTCTACCTTGAATTTAAATGAGATGGTGCATTTGGTCTTTAGACATTCATAACTGTGGAGTGCGCATTACAATCATGGTAGCTCATGAAATATGTAGGATTGGTCTGGAGAATCATTATTCATTGTGAAAACTAAATCCATGTGATTAAATGTGCTCATCCGTCTCAATTTCCGTGATCTCAAGCGGCCATCTCATCGAGCTCATACAGGTCTGGAGAACTTCCGTAAAAAGCAACTGGAATAACAAGATCTTTCAAAACGTACAGCAACCCTTTGAGCTGCATGGCTGTTTAAGAAATACATCAGATCTCCAGTGAGTTTTCTATGTAGGTAGGCAGATGATGATGATGGACAACTGATAAACTCATCATTTAGGACACAATGTATGTGGGTGAGCACTGACATCAGGTTCCCTGTAACACGATTGTACTAGTTTGAAGTTGTATCTGCCTTTTTCTACCCAATTTAAGTGCTTGACTTTGTCCAGACCCTCATGAGATTGACAAAACGGCTCTAAAACATGATTGGCTAATGCTGGTTGCCTTCGCTGGTTTGGGTTGGTTAGATTGGTTTAACCTGATGGTTTGTTACACAAAGAACCATCTGGAAAGTGTTTGTTGGAAATTGTTTGAAAAAGGGCTGGATGAACCATCTGACTATCACCGTCTATCACAGGCGTACTTTAACCAATCAGATCAACACACCAAGAGTGAAAATATCTTTTCCATCGAGAAAACTATTCAGCACTGTTCTTTGCTCTTCTTTCAGAGAAGAAAAACTAACTCACTGGCATCTACACTAACCTCTACGGGAGGCGACATTGTTGTTTAACCAACACAACGTTTCTTGCTGTCACACCTAGTGCCCACCCCTGTAGCTGCCAGTACTTCCTTCAAAAGGATGCTCTAGTACCACTGTAGTTAGGCCACAAACGTATAGATTGAAGAATATCAGGGTTAGCCAATCAGAGTCACACAGACATGCGTACTCGCTGACTCCTGATCCCATATTTTAGCTTGTATCAGAGTGGATTGTGGTGGTGGATTGTCATGGCCAGCAAATATAAACAAAAGCGACCAGCAAGTCCCCAAGAGCCGGCAGGAGATCATACCCTAACAGAAAATGCATTGTTTCTTTTATCATACAAACTCCCCCTGAAACTTCCCCCTGTATCTGTGAGTAAGTGTAAATAAACCAACCAAAGTCTTTTTTTGAACAATTCCACCTTTCTGCCGCCAGATTAAATCAAACTTCCTCTCAATAGCTGACAGCTCACTGGTTTACACTTAATGCCTCAATGGTCAGATCTGAAACTGAACTGAAACTACAGCCTGTATGATGGCGTACTAATGGATCAGCAGGTTAAAGTTCAGGGCATCTAGTTTCAGTGTCACAGGTTTGAACATGTACCGTAACCTTTCACAGAGTCAGACACAGAACAAACCCCAGCTAGAAGGTTTTAACGTACATTTATAAAAATACTACAAGATCAACCGCTAATGTTACACCCAAGTATACGCTTAGCAACTGTAAGCATGTATTGGATGAGGCAGTCTCCAATGCTGGTTTGCCTCTGGGCACACACACAGCACTGTATGCTAACACCAGCACGTGACAGAGCTATGTGCCAGAGACACAAGAGAAAGATTTCACGGTTGGGTGTGGAGCACATTTAATCCTGAATTTCAGTGAGGTCCTAAACATGTAACTCAACTGTATTTTGAGGAATATTAACATGTTTAAAGTTAGCATGTCATATAACTCATCCATATAACCTCCATTTTATAAACTCGGGAGCAGAACGCTGTCCTTTTTTGCTTAGCCAGCCGTTCAGTCCCACTTTTGAGTTTGATTTTCAAACGTCCCAGCAATCTCTGGAATGTAATGCAAGTCACATATCTGCCCTGTCACATAGTGACTGTCTCTCTCGATGTCTACCTCCAAGTAAGGCACAAACACCATGACCACATTCAGGAAATCAAATAAAAAGGCAGGGGATCAACTGTCTGGATTTTCTGTAAAATTACATACAGAACAAACCTTCGCGTCAGTCAACAACGCCCTCTTCCTGAAGCTCTGGACAGCATCTATGTCCTTGCTGCATTTAAATTGTCACAGTCCACAGATATAAAAGTGATCAGTCCTTCAAGTTAATTAAAGGGACAGTTCACCCTTTTGAGGCAGCAGTTCCATGAGGACTGAGGTGTGGACAATCTGTCTCGCTGCTCAGAGCTGCTCCGGCAGTAAAGACGAGGTCGCTGGCTTCATTTGTGGTTTGATTTCCATTCCTCATCTTCATACAAAAGAGCCTGGAAAACAAAAGGAAGAGTGAGCTATGACCAATGAAGAGAACAAAAAAAAGTGATGCAGAATGCAAATCATAATAGGAGATGAAGGTAAGTGGTGCTGTTCTGTTTTGGTTCTGTGTCCAATCGCTGCCGTAGCCTGACACACACCTCCCATGAATCACAACTGTGATTGGTCTGCTTGGTGTGTGTGTGTGTGTATTGACTAAGGATGGGAAGCGATTTTGCACACACACACTACAGATACATACACACACACACACACACACACACACACACACACACACACACACACACACACACACACACACACACACACACACACACACACACACACACACACACACACACACACACACACACGAAGAGTTCGGCACATTGTAATTACACTCATTGTATATTTACCTGTTTAATTACTGTGTTTTTATTTACTTGCCTTTTCATGATATACTGTATCTGCTGCCAAGACTGACCATTTTATTTCATTAATATGCAATGGTTGTTATAATTGAAAACTCCCAATAAAAATATTGTAAAAAAAAAAAAAAAAAAAAAGATTGGAGTGTGAAGTTAATCATCTGGCACAAACTACAGGACTGGAATGTGCACCGATAGACCCCAACGCCTCTGTCCTTTTGCCCCAGACCTAACAAGTGCCCTCTTTGATGACGTTAACTGTATTAGGCTATTATTATCATTATCATCATCATCATTATTTTTATTTAATTTTCCTGTCCAGATCTTCTGTAAGATCATTGCCTCACTGATTACTTGCTATGTTCACACTGCAATCAGTCATTATAGTTTTGTATTTTTTATTTTTATTTTGTTTTAATTTTTGTTTCAGTTTAGTTTTTATTGTTTAATTGTTGTAAACTCACATTCGTGCAGACTTCCCAGTCTCAAACGTATGCAACACCTCCTAATGCTTGTATTGACAAATATTAACGTAATGTAATATCGCTTCAGGGATATTTTTTTTTAGGCAAACTAGTTTTATTTCAGTTAACTCAAATGTTTTTGTTTTTTTTCACACTTGGTTTTAGTGTGCCTCTCTATCAGCTCAGTGCTGTGTCACCTTGCTCTCCAGCACTCGGCTGTGGGTCGGGCTGCTGAGCTCCTCCAGAGTCTCTGCAGTAGGTCCGTTGAGGGTTTCAGGCAGCAGGAGGCCCAGACAGCCTGCAGACAGACCGCTAAGACAGAACACAGTGAAGGGCAGGGAGGTGTGGAGAGCCCGCTGCAACACACACACACACACACACACACACACACACACACACACACACACACACACACACACACACATCAGAGAAAGAATAAACTGCTCAAACACTAAAATAAAAACTAAACTAAATTGTCATTAAAAATTTAAAGAGAATAAAAATAAATACTGTTTGAGACCCAATTTTATGGAAATCTATGTGGAGATGACCTACAGTAGATTTGATTAGCTACAGTAGTTAAGCACATGATGTAAACAACCTACCAAAGCCCACAGGAATATTCCAGTTTTACTGGTTTAACTTTCCTGTGCACCTCCATTTAATGATAACAATATAATACATACTGTTTAATCGTAGGAGCTGTTGCTGTTTCTGTTGTATAAGTCAAAGATCTGTTTGCTGTGTTAGCAGATGCTATGGTTCAAACTTGTGCCTGTGCTTTAGCTGCTACATCTTGCTGAAGTAACCTAATCCACCACTAGGTGTCACTGTATCTTCAGCTTTAAGTTACAACTGCTGCTCACAAGGGTTAACTGGGGTCAACAGTCCAAGTTTCACTCCATTAAAGGGGAATTTCCTGCCATTGTGATCTTAATTTCTTTCAAACAATCTCAACTCTGAAACAAGTATACAATGTCTTTTATTAATCCCTGAAGTGTCAGTGGGGTATGTGGGATACTAAAATGTTGAGAAATTATTGAACCTGAAGGTTCATTCTTGACCTTGGAAACACCCCAAAAAACCAACCCTTCTCGTTATTTACAAAACCATCTCCACGGCAACCGGGAAACTCCATCCACTGAGTGAGGTAGGGGTGTGGCTGAAAGCTGGAAAAACCCCAAGCGAGTGGGCCTAATCTTGATTATGTTTTCCAGGTTGATTAGTCATGCTGAGGAGGTTTCATCATTCAACATGAAACACCACAGTAGTATTTCATCTTTCTCATTCACTAAATCGTACCCAATTCTTTTGGTTCAACATGCCCCTTTATTGGTTGTTAGAACATCTTGCCAAAGGACTGCAGTTGAAAATTATCCAGCTGGATAACACAGTTACAGAAATGTTGATTAATGAGCGTCCTCAATGAAATGAAAGAGAAGGGCAATCATTCTGTGAGCTCAGCATCCCCATTGGATATAAGAAAAGCTCACATTCCATGTTTTCTCTTCATTGGAACAAATACAGGAGTCTCAGAAAGTTCACTATCCATTCCTTCTGGATCCTACTAACGGTCATAGGTTACTGAATGGCTCTTTAAATTTCACTTCACATCTGAGATGAAGTGCTCGCTGATGTTGGCTCAAGTTTTCTCAAGAGGAGATGTGTACTGTTGTTTAGCTATGAACCTACACCAGGGTCTCTGCAGGTTTCAACAGGTTACACTAAAGGGTTTTTAAGAGAACTATGAATGCGATTTAAAACCTATTTTACGTCCATACTAGTAAAATAGAAAAAAAAAAAAAAAGCGTGATCAATGAAATTGATCATTTAAAAATGAGAAAAATTAAACAAGTAACATTAATTTCATTAATCCAATCAATGTTTAAGACCTGTCATAATCATATTTTAAGTCTTAAAATACAGATTATTCTTACCATGGAAGGAACAAATGGTGCAAGGATTCCTCCAACTCTGCACGACATAGAGCAAACTCCTAAACCAGCGTTCCTGGAACAAACGCACACAAATACCCCCATAAAAAACTGAAAACCATTGACTTGAATATTGAACATCACTTGAAGGTTCTCACTGCATTACATATATAGAAGACACACTTGAAGCCCACCTGGTCAGCTTCAGGCAGCGTGATGTGTGTGAATAATTCAACATGCAGACTGTGGTCAGTTCACCTGATTACTGTAGGGTAGAGTTCAGAGGTGTAAACGTAGGCAATGTTGAATGCTGCACTGACCATCAGTTTTCCCAGAAGCGCCAATGACGTGACACTCAGCAAGGTCCCTGCAAACACAAATAAACACCCTTAACTTAACACCAAAAATACTGCTGAGGAGAACAAGTGACTTCGTGACCATCAGGCACACGGCATGGACTGAATGCTTGACTGGATTCAGGATGTCAAACTCATTTTGGAACATGAATTGAAGAATTAGTTTGAACCATTACACAGTAGAAACTGATTGTCTGATAGCTCTGACGGCTCATCAAACCTTTTGCCATAACTTCATTCACTTCTATATAACCCAATAATGCATCACATTTGGCAGCGAAAGCTAGGTAAACTCCCAATATAAATCATTCCCAGGGGTCACCGCAAAACTACAGCTCTGAGCCCCTGAACGGTTGGCTCTATGTGCTGCTGATAGTGTAGATTTTAAATCCAATCTCATCTTGATCTAAAGTTGAATTCATTACAGGTCACTTAAAACAAGAGCTCCTCAAAACCATTAGGTAAAAATGTAAAAGAATGAGATAAGATGGGTTAAATATGTGAAATATTAATATGTGGGACTAGCAGCTTGTTTTTCCCCCTCATCAGTTCACAGTTATTCTGTCACACTGCGATCACACTGCAGGTTTTAAAACAACTAGCTAACACTGTAGTTGTGTAATGTGATGAAATCAGCCTCACAGAACAGCTCAGCTAGTTCCAGGCTTTCAGTTCAGTTTTTCACTTCCTTCCTTTTTTTACTTGATGGTTTGAATCACAGAAAAGTGGGCACACGTTTGAACAGTTAGTAGAGTTTGTACCAACATACATTTCCCTGTGTTCCGTAATCAATTATTACATATTGTGGTGGTTTAGTTTTACAATGACAATGTAATAATATGGTGCGTTATGGAATAACCAGCCAAAATAGATGTCTTCATCTGTACACTTTACATTTTTGACAATTAACCTACATTAAACCTCCCAAATATTGAATCAGACACTGATTATGGCCTGTGGTGCCTCCCTCGGCATTATAGCTGACCGTGATCTTAGTCTAAATAGCCACATAAAAGCAGTGACAAGATCAGCTTGTTATTGTCTTATAAATAAAGCCAAACTCAGGGACTTCAGGTCAAATGCAGACTTGGAAAAACTCATTCACGCTTTTATTTCTAGCAGGGTAGCAGTGGTCTTTTGACAGGGCTCCCCAAAAAGACCCTCAAAAAGCTTCCGCTTGTTCAAAATGCAATTCATAAAAACATTACTACAACTGGTAAAAACTACTACAATATGGAATAATTCATTACACAATGTGGGGAAATGTATTATATGTTTGGTCCAGGCTGTTTATCACAAATATATTTAATTTTGTTGTGTTATTACCTAACTGTCTGTCTCACCTGTGTTTTCGGGGATAAACATGGTGCAGAGGCAGGCGGATCCGGCCAGACACAGGAAACTGGCCATGCTTTTCCTCCTGCCAGCCCTGCACAACAACACACACAACAGCTCATCAGTGCAGGCTTTAACCAGAACACCTCACATCGCTATCCGCTATATCTACATGTACACATCAGCACATTAATTAAAAGAACTCCAGAGAGTCAAAGTTGTTGTTCCATCCTGTTTCATCCAACTAAAGTCGAAAAAATTCATTTTTATCCTCTGGTGGTCTGCAAAAAGTGCTGAATGCTTGTACTTACTCTAGGCCTGATTACTGCAAAGCACTTTACTTGGCTATCACCCAGGGCTCCCTTCACCATCACCAGCTGGTACAGAATGCTGCAGCCCGACCCGTTACTGAGACAAGGAAATATAAACACATCACCCTGTGCTTGCCTCCCTACACTGGCTCCCTGTCAAATTTCAAATTGATTTAAAAATCGTATAACTTAATTTTACAGATTTAAACGGATTTGCTCCCACATCTATTTCTGATTTATTATCCCTTTATCTCTCTCATCTCATATTCATCCGCATATCCGGGATCGGGTCACGGGGGGTAGATAGTCCAGCAGGGGACCCCAAACTTCCCTTTCCCTGGCCACATGGGCCAACTCTGACTGGGGGATCCCGAGGCGTTCCCAGGCCAGTGTTGAGCTATAATCCCTCCACCTGGTCCTCAGACTGCCCCGTTGCCTCCTCCCAGCTGGACGTGCCAGGAACACCTCCCTCGGGAGGCACCCTGGAGGCATCCTCATCAGATGCCCGAACCATCTAAGCTGGCTCCTTTCGACGCAAAGGAGAAGCGGCTCTACTCCGAGTCCCTCGAAGATATCCAAACTTCTCACCCTCTCCGGAGACGCCGGCCACCCTCCTGAGGAAACCCATTTCGGCCGCTTGTACCCGGGATCTCGTTCTTTTGGTCATGACCCATCTCTCATGACCATAGGTGAGGGTAGGAACAAAGATCGACCGGTAGATCGAGAGCTTCGCCTTTCGGCTCAACTCTCTTTTTGTGCCAACTGTTCGATAAAGGGACCGCAATACCGCCCCTGCTGCCCCGATTCTCTGGCCAATCTCCTGCTCCATTCTACCCTCAATCGTGAACAAAACCCTGAGGTACTTGAACTCGTTCACTTGGGGTAAGGACTCACTCCCTACCCGGAGTAGACAAGTAGACACCGGTTTCCTGCTGAGAACCATGGCCTCTGATTTAGAAGTGCTGATCCTCATCCCAGCCGCTTGACACTCAGCTGCGAACCGATCCAGTGAGTGCTGAAGGTCACAGGCCGATGATGCCATCAGGACTACATCATCCGCAAAAAGCAGCGATGCAATCTTCAGCCCACCAAACTGCAACATCCCCCCTCCCCCACGACTACGCCTCGATTTCCTGTCCTGAAAGTCATGAACAGGATTGGTGACAAAGTGCAGCCCTGGCGGAGGCCAACGCCCACTGGAAACGACTCCGACTTACGACCAAGAATCTTGACACAACTCTCGCTTTGGAAATACAGAGATTGGATGGCCCTGGAAAGTGGCCCCCTCACCCCATACTCCCGCAGCACTTCCCACAGGTTATCCTGGGGAACCCGGTCATTACATTCTCCAAATCCACAAAGCACATGTAGACCGGACTGGCATACTCCCAGGCCCCTTCCAGGACACCTGAAAGAGTAAAGAGTTGGTCTGTTGTTCCACGACCAGGACGGAACCCGCACAGAGGTTCGACACTCAACCGGACCCCCCTTTCCAGCACCTTAGAGTAAACTTTCCCAGGGATGCTGAGTAGTGTGATGCCTCTGTAGTTTGCACACACCCTCTGGTCCCCCTTTTTAAATAGGGGAACCACCACCCCACCAAAACTTTTCTTTTTGTGCAAGCTTTTGGACATTTTTGTTGTTTTCATTCCTATTTATTTGTTCTTACTCATTCTGTTTTATTATCTCTGTGCTCATATTCCTTATTGTCTTTTTATCGGCTTTTTTTTTTTCCTTTGTAAAGCAACTATATAAATAAAGTTCATAATTGTACTGTGTTACTGAACTGAACAGTGTGTATTGTTGTGTGTGTCTCACCAGTGTTTGTTGATGAAGTATATGCAGAGCGGATAGGCGGGCAGCTCCACCAGGCCGTACATGGCTACGTTCACATAACGGCTACCAGACGTGTCGCTGGCCCCCAGAGTCAGACCGTAGTACACCAGACTGCATGCATACCTGCAACACACACGTATACTTATGTCAGGTTTAAGGACATTATGTTTAACTTCTTACATTCAACTCCTGGAAATTTTAACTTAACCATAAGCCCTAATGGCCTAACCTTAACCCTAAACTACCCCTAGGCCTTAACCACTGACCCAAAAACCTGCTTTTTTCTAATTGGATGACATGGCTTTCGTCCCGAATTGGATAAGCCGTCCCCAATTAAGGAGGCTCAGGCCCTTCAATGTGTGCTCTAGGCTGCTACGAGTTCTACCAGTGTCGTCTTCTTCGCTGTGGTGTGCTGGGGAAATGGTATCGAAACTTGTGTTAAAGCTTAAATGATCATTTCAGTGTGTTTTCTATTATCATGCATTATTCTGCATTTTTCTTCTCAGTACACATGTGACCTAAAGTACACTGATTCCCTTTTGTATGATACATTTGATGGGACAGAATCTTTTTCAGTACAACTTTGTGTCCGCACCTCTTTGTCAGACCTGCAACATCAGCTCTGTCCTCCCAGCTAAGATAGACTGACTGTTACTTTATTATCCTGAGTCATTAAATAGACTTCACTGCTTGTTGAATCATGTTCATTTGTTCATTTCTCCGTCAGGAAAAACCTAAATCCCACCACACTGACGAACCAGGCCAGCTGGCGAGGAAGGCCAGCTCGGTGGTGAGACTGAATTGGACGGTGTGGAAAGCACTTAGCACTTAAACTGTCAATCACAGCACAGATAGTGCACATGTACATACACAAAGAATACTTTTAGAAACACTGCACATGTACAATGTACATACACACAGGTTAATTCAATTGTATCTATTGTATATATTATTCCTATTTTATAATATGTTCTTTATTCTTTGTACTGAATTCCCCTGCGCTGATCAATAGAGGTACATCTTATGTTAAATGCTCTTCAGTCTGAAATGTGTCCCCAAAGGTACTGTCAAAGTCTCTCACACACTGTGACACACACACTGTGACACACACACACACACACACACACACACACACACACACACAGAGAGCAGGTAAGTGGCTATGATAATGAACATAGATCAATTATATTAATCCAGAATTGTGATTTGAAAAAAGGCTTTGAAAAGGGTTAAAAAAAAGAATTTGTGTCAGGTAATAACAGATCTGCAGCCTACTCAGCAGCTCTGACATTTATCTTCCTTTTCTGTTTTCAGAAACCTGCTTGTTTACTGTAAACTCTGATCAACAGGGTCCTCTGGCAGCAGAATAAACCAGTACGATCCAATCAGGTCTTCTCTTCAAATAAAAGAGAGAAAGAAAAAAACCTTTTCGTGTTAAAACCAGTTCAGCCTAAAAGCTCTGTAGCAGCTGTAATAAAGTAGGTGTAAAACTGGCAAGAGGTTGGTGTCAGACAAAAAGTTTTAGTGCTCTAGATACAGAGTGCTTGAAAGTATTATAGTTTTTGTTGTGAACATCACAGATCACTATGGCCAACCCAAATCCGTTGTTATAAAGCATGTTCAATTCCAAGACTACTTAATACATGTCAGCTATCATCCGTCCACTTTTTAAAAAAAATATACTGAACTTTTAGAAACTCTCAAACGCTAATTCTTACAATCGATTTATAACCTCAGACAGATCGGAGGATGGAATATGCACCATTTTTGGGATTCCATTTACAATAAAACCCAGACATTCAGCTGTAAAGTAAGTAAGATCATTTGTAGATACTAAACCAACCAAGCATTTGTACATTAGATTACTGCTTCAGCCCGCTCTGTCCAACAATATTCAAGATATTTGTGAGATATTACAATACGAACATGAATCAAAATGCTGTGGCAATCCATCCAATAGCTGTCGAGACCACAGAAATGTACAAAAGAAAATTTTCTAAAGATGATTTTTACGCATGTATGAACGGCAGAAAGTACCTCTGAATTCATTTAAAATAGCACATAAATCTTTGACAGTACCTTTGGGGACACAAGTTAAGCAGAGATATTAGCAGTGGTGGGCTAACAGTTGCAAAGGTAGTTTCAGTATGAGCAGCAGTTTCATTAGCAGTTCTGGCAGTAATGATAAAAGTGAAATGATAGAAGTAGCCATATTCGTAGTAGAAATACTGTAGTTAAAGAAGAAGTAGCAGTAATAGCTCTGATTTGAGCCTGTGGCAGCCAGATTTGAACCAACAACCCTGTGTTAATGAGCCTGTTTAAGCAGCTTTGAGCTTAAGCAGCTGCACTAACACTTCTTCTGTGGTGGTATACTCACCAGACATACATGAGCACCATGGTCCTCAGACGGAGGACCGGATGGATCACCAGCTGCAGGACACCCGCGCCCTTGTTGACATGGTTACCGGGTTTAGCAGCACCGACACGTTGCAGCATCAGGTTGTTGGCAGCGTTGCCGTTCCTCAGAGCCATGTAGCGCAGAACCTATTAAGACAAGATAGAGCTTCCTAATTAAGTTACTCAGTGTTAGGTTGTTGACTGGTAACCGTGACACAGGCTGGCTCAATGCCATTTTACAGTGAGGTCGAGGAAGACTCAAATTAATTCTCTTGAAAGAAGAGGCAGAGAAAAAAATAAAATGTAATCTTATTTCAGAAACTTAAGTCCATTTAAAGAAAAAAAAAGTGACTGATAGTCTGTCAATCATTTTCTCGATTGATCGGTTAATGTTTGGCCCATAAAATGTCCCAAAGCCCAAGGAGATGCCCTCAAATGTCTAGTTTACTGTCAAAGAGGACAAGAAAATCAGAAAATATTTTTTTTTTCATAAAAAATGACTCAAAAATGATCGACAAGTCGAAATATCTGCCCAATAATAAATAGTTTAATAACAACTAATCAGTCGTTATTGTTTTACACTGATATTTCCCTCAAACAGGCTTTTGGCTGCCACAGCCCTCTCATACTGATACAAGTACAGCTAAAACAAACTCGGCACTGTTGTATCAATATATTTACCTCCTCAGCTTGCCTTGTCTGACCCTGAGAATACAGCCAACGAGGAGATTCTGGAAGAGTGCTGGAGGAAAGGAGACCAGAGGAGAGATTACAGCTTGTGATGCAAAATGTATGTAATTATAAATGATTTTATCTTATTCTATGGATTTGATTATCTTCTGTGTCTTATCTATGTGTGTAGTAGTGTGTAGTAGTGTGTGTGCTCAAAAATTCACAATATCAGCCAACATCAGTGAATTTTGGCCTCTAAAATTGGTATCGTTTCAAAAATCCAATGAGGGTTGGGCTCTACTGTATTAAAGTCACCCCTGAGGAGAAATGTTTCTTAAAGGCACCAGTAGATTTGTTTTTGTTTTAGATGGATGCGGGCGGTGGCTTGCCTCTCTGAGGTTTGTACTCACACAGACAGCAGGAAGAAAAGGACACCGGACGAGTTGGCCGCTGTGGCCAGGTTCCTCCACGGCTGGATGAAGTAGCCCAGAGCTCCAAACAGAGCGATGCCGACCGCAAAAGACATACTGGTCAACGTCCCTGGAGAAAAAAATAAATACAAACTCAGTCCAAGAGGATCAGCAGGGTGTGGTTAAAGTGACCACATTGTAATGTCAAAATCTCATGTTTGATTACTAAACAGCCATGGGAACTTTTCAAGCCCACACCCACAACTACATCCTGACACAACCAAAAGTCCCTGCTAGCTTTACCATAACACTAAGACCTATAGTCGGCAAATAATCATATAAATTCATGTAGGACAGGATTGTCTTACCAGTCATGGCCCAGTAGGACTTGCCCACGTACTCCTGAGTGAGGACGAAGCAGACAAGCCCGATGCCGCCGTTCATCAGCCCCACTAAGAGACGAGACACGGCGAAGACCTCATAGCTGGGTGCGAAGGCAGTCACATAACCAAAGACCACCTCAAAAAACAGACCTGGAGGGAAGATAAAAGAGACAGAGAGGCAGAGAACACCGTTCTGTTTAATGGTCTTTTTCCATGTCTCTGCATGCAGCGTGAAACCAAGCTGTCATCAACAGCTCCGCTTGGAACATTCAAACCGCCTTCAAACACAGTGGCATAAAAAAGTCATTCATGAGTTTGTCTGTCTAAAACCACAGAGGGGGGAGGCTGATATGGGACTGGGGAATTGTATTATCATTTCTGAGTTCTTCATGTTTATAGACCTTGGGTCGCCAAAGTATCATGGGGGGGTCGTGAGACCTTTTTGATTTTAAGGGGTGTAAGAAAACATAAAAAATATACACAGTGTATATGTCAGAATTCCATTCATTTATGTGAAGAAAAACAAATGAAATTCTTATTTTTAAAGTTTAAATTATGATTAGAGATGGAAACACTGAACACAAGCTATATTCACAGAGCCTTCAGCTTCTGATGAACAGTCTCATCCTGCATTATAACAACAGCCAAGTATCAGGAGAAGAAAAAAGATGAAGTAGGGATGATTGCTAAAAATAGTATTGTATAAAAAAAATAGCAGAACTAATCTCTATTACAGTATTCACACAAAATAATACAAATTAATTCATCCAAATTGCTTGTTTTACACATATTTCATGCTGTTATTGTGTTCTCTATTCGGGCTCATTGTACAGTTTATCAATTGTTCTATATGTGTTGAATACAATATGAAATATCCATATAAAAAGGCACTGAGTCAGGGGTCCCTGAAGGAAAAAGGTTGGGAGTCTAGTCAATGTTAAGTGTATTTACTGCACCGCTGTAAAGAGTCGCTTCAGTAATTAACTTCAGGGAAATTAGTCTAGCTGAACTGGATAGCGTGCTCTGTATTACTGTGAACAGTATTCACACAGTCACAAAGCTTATGCCGATCTCATTTTACAGCTGCAGGGAGGGGGGCCCCCCGCCGGCCACACACTTGCCACGGCATAGGACACGTGAAGCGCTCGGTATACTCGCCGTTCTCGACATGTCGCGCGACAATGTGACGTCACAGGAGCGCCGTAACTATTTATACTTGTGCATGGTGGTCGCGACACTAGATGCAGTCTTCTCCTGAACAGAGGTGTCGCAACTGAGCAAAGGCTACCGACTTTTCTATTACTGGGCACTACTTCTCAGACCGAGACACAAGACATAGCAAGCTAGCTAATATTACTGACAGCTAGAAGGCCAGCTCGCCGTCTTTCTGCAGCCTTTTATTTCACCACGCTCTTGCCAACAACTAAAAGCCAGTCTCAGACTGACTCCTGTTTGGCAGCTTCTTGTTGGATCACGCTCTCCTTTCTCTTCGTAGCTTCCTTCCCTCATCCTCTGAGGTCTTTCCGCCTCAAACAATAACAATGTCCATATAAGCTACTGAGTCCGATTACACTGCCCGCTCAACAGGCTCTGATCTGGCATAACACCAGTGTCAATGCCGCCCCCAGTGTCAGTGTTACCAATGTAAACACAAACCCTCCCTGGGTACTCTCAGCACCCAGCAGTATGGCTGAGCTAACAAGCCAACAGCAACTACTTCATTGTCGGTCAGGAAACTCCGTAAATCACAGAGAGTTGAGGCAGAGCAGCTGGAGGACATCAGAGGGAAAACCAGTAAACAGTATCTCCATATAATATGATCCAGTTTCACCAAAATCCCTGACATAGTTGGTGGTGTGACTTTATGCCGTAAAGTGTTAAGCACTTGTCCCAACCCGGACACAAAGGCTCCATAGTGCAAGAACAGTCATTTGGGGTGCAGAGCGGGAATGACAGAGGCATTCACTGTATTACAACTCAGCGTAGCATGGGCGCTGTTATTTTAAGGTAGAAAAGTTACATAATGTCGCTTTAAGCACCTAGCTGATGACAAAAAACTGTTAGCTAACATGTTCTCGACAGTACATTTATAATTTCTTTAAAATCAGGAATATACTAATCCAACCTCAGTCCCGATACTTCAACTCAGAGCACCGATCCAAAACTAGTGCTCTGTTTTTCCCAAATTCAAAATACAGTATGAATACCTCACTGCATAGAATTTATTGGAATAATCTTGATGAGGGATTTATGGGATTGCTGGGGCAGTAAAAAACGAGTCTCCGGCACACTGACTGAATAAATGTAGGCGATAGTGGAAACGCTGAGTTACTATAATGAAATCCCATCACCACTATATCATATCTGATGTGCTTATCAAGGTCAGCACAATATGTCAGAGGTTGTGAACGACAAAATCTGTGTTTATTTTCTATAAAGTAGACTCCAGGTATAAACTCACATAATTGGTGCTTTGTTAACAGCTGGGAAATTAAAATTTCTAAACCAGGACTAAACCAGTATTTCTTAAATTCTTCCTTTAAATGTTCTAGATTTCTGAATCAGGACTCAAATTTCCAGTGTTTACAAGACAAACAACACAAACAGGACAAACTCTCCGGGACAACTTCACTGAGACAAATCTGTCCTATAAGGTCTGTGTAGGGTTTCTGCAGCTTTCAGCAGGTTAAACCTTTTTAAAGACCTTCTTAAGACCATAAGAACCATAAAGACATATTTGTATGTCCTTACTGGCACGATATGATGGAAAATGGCTATTGGTTCCATGTTGGGTTGGTTTTGTACTTGTAACAGCATGAGCAATACTGTTTCTAAAAACACATTTAAAAGCGGCCACACTTTTAAATGTGTTTTTAGAAACAGTATTACCATGTTCAAATGCAACGTTATACACGTAATGTTAACTTAATTAATCTAATAAATTTTAAAGATCTGTAAAAATGATATTTAGGACTTTTTAAGATATTTTAAAACTTAAAATTCTGATTATTGTATTTTACACTAGAAGACATTTTAAGACCTGTGAATACGTTGCCCGTGGTTTTTCTCACCTGTCAAGTAGACAGGTCTCCTACCAATCCTGTCAGACAGCGGCCCAAAGACGATGTTCCCGACCAGAAGCCCGGCGAAGAACAGCGATCCAGCTAGACTGACCTTGTAAGCCTGCTGCTTGACGAGAAACCACTGGGGAACACAGAGACAGTGACAGACAGCCTTATTTGTGGACTTCATTCAGCTTCATTCATGCAAACGAGCACACATGCTGAATCAGAGGCCTTGGCTGGGTGAAAATGTAAATACACACAGCCTCTGGCTCCCTCACCTCTGTCACTATGGTGTCGATGTCCTCTGTAAAGACGACACGTTGGAGGAGCTCCTGCTGGCCGGGTGGGACGCCGTCCTGCTGCTCGATGCGGTACTCTGGCGTAGATCCAACCAGAACGATCAGCATGGACTGACAGGCCATGTACACCTGAAAACACACAGAGACGGTTCTATTAGAAGTACTGACATCACCACTACAGCAGCTATCAGTGTGTACGTCTGACCACTCTGCAAACCCGGCAAATACATTTTCCAGCTGACGTAGATGTTCTGTATCCTTCTAGTGGAGGATGTTCTAACCCTTCACTGCATTATTAACTTGTTTTGGATCAAAGGCCAACATGAGGCTTGTACATGGTTCTACCCTTCTTCTTAAGTGTTGACAATGTGTAGCAGAACTGTCTTTATGATGTAATATTAGTAAGACATGTACCCAGCCAGGATACTGAGCCCCAGGGAGTCCTTTCAAATGACTCTGAGTGACTCAACAGGTTTTAAAGACCCTGCTACTTTATGTTTAACTTCATTTTAAACTAATTATGAAACCAAAGAAATGCGGAGGATAAGTCCATAAATGAGATTCGGTGGTGTTTATTAAGAAAGATAGCAAACAAATACAGAACATATCAAACCCACACAACGTCAATAACAGCATCATCCACTAACGTTCCTAGCTAGCTAGAGCGGGAGTTAGCTTAACCCTATGAGACAAACTTCATTTAAAGATGCGGCCGTTTGGGATTACATTCGTTATTTGTGACAATTTAGAACAAGTGGGAAATTGCTTAAACCGATTTAGAAATACATGGGATGTTGTAATTAATTCGGCATGCGTTTGACATACCTATGAGCTATATCATTTAAATTATTGTAAAAATACTAGTCTGACAGTGCTGGTCAATGCAGGAATCCGCGCAGGGGATGTTATTTCAGCCAATAAGAGAAGCAGGAATGAAAGGTTCACTACGATTCATTTATGTCTAAACGAGACTTCTATGGTATACCGAATTACAGTGAAACTCGTATAGATGTGTAAAAAGATTTGAATTGTGGCCCATCTTATTTGTAAGCTTGCCCATCAACATGGCAACAACATTCTTTCCGTTTTTAAAAGGAAGTCTGGTGTAAAGTTCCCGGTAGAAAGTGCACTTGCTGCGTTCGTATCTAACGATAGCGATGACAGTTCCAACGTTAAAACGTGAGAACACTCACGCCGACATTGATGTTATTCTGTAAGTCCGCAGTCAAACTCTTAGGAAGCCCTCCGGCAGAGGCTGAAAGCCACGTAGCGATACCTCCGTACTAACGTTACGTCTCCGTCTGCAACGTTATTGCAGGGGACGCTTTCCGCGGTTGTCTAAAACAGATACTTTCAAATACACCAACTAACCTGTGTCAGAACAAGGACAGCCACCGCCCGCTTCTGGTAGGGTCCAAACTCGCCGACAACTTTAAAAGCTTCTTCTAAATCCATCCCAGGCAGGGCGGTCAGGCGGCTCTCTGCTTTAGCATCGCCACCGCGGCAGGAAGGAACGAGAGCGTCATCCGCGCGTACTTCCGGCTTCGCTTCAACCCTGCGTCGTTCGAACAAAGTTCATACTCATGGAAAATAACGAGACAAGGCCAGTCTGTTTAGTGGCGGGTCGGTTTATTTAAAAGGCACTTTGTAAAAACAAATCATACGCCAGTCAGCACTTTGAAATTCTATTTAAAATAAATTAAAAATAGTGGCATGAATACGTATCTCTATCTGAACTAAACAGGAAGACTATATGACAGAAACCACACGATCACACCAGCCAATGTACAAAAATATGATACCAAATAACTTTGAGTACACTGATCCGAGATTGCTCATCACATACAGAGACATTCAAAATGCTGACACAGCCAAACATGCACTTAAATACATCAGTAAAAAGAAAAGCATGTTTATATTGTATATACACATTTCATTAATCTGGCTCTTCACCACTTTGTAGCTGAAGCAAAATAAAAACATTAAGAGCAGAGTGCCAATGTTGTCTTCTCAAGTTAAGCATTTTTTCTCTGTGATCAGTACTTCATCTAGCCCATCAACACAAGATTACGTGGGAAACTGTATACACACACATTCAATTTATTTATGTTATTTTTTTAAATAGGTGGGCAGCAATTTCATATTCTACATGGTTGGCATATTGCATATATAGGATTGGTGTAATACTGTGAAATCAAATGCTGAAAGGACAATAAAAGGCAGGTTGTTTTGCTGTACAATGCAATAAAAAGATCTGTCCATCCATCCAGCCTCCCTTTTCACCTGAAGTATCCATACCACTCAGTCCCATTAGTTATAACCTACACACCAACTCTACTGTTCCTCGAGGACATTCTCTGCTGCAAGTAACAGTCCATGATGTACACAGCTGAATGCTAAAAAACATTAAAAAAATGGACAGAAGTAGCTGTGGACAGGGGCACCAGAGTGCAGATCTGATCCTGTTCTCAGGAGACAAAAGTTCCACAAGTTCATGCAGGGTTAGCATCCCCATCAGGCTTTTTGTGTAGGAGGGCGTCGGTATTTCCCGCTTCAGTCCCTGAGTTTGGATTGTCAGCAGGCGGATTTCCATTTCCAGACTGAGTAACGTTTCCACTTCGAAATCGATTGTATAACTTCATGATTGTGGCTCGCTTGAAATATGCCACAGCCCCAGCCGCCACTACTACCAAGGTTACAATGACAGAGACGATAATCGCAACCGAACCACTGTTAGGGTCATCAGGCTCCTTCTCTGAGAACAACGGATTGTCTTTGGGTTCACTTTCTTTCTCACTGACTGGGTTCTTCATCCGGCAGGTGAATGTTTTAACATATGCTATCTCAGTCTTGATGATGAGCATGTCCTTCTCCTTCATCGACTGCAGCCATTCCTCGTTGTCCCTCTTCCAGCTGTAGGTGACAGGTTCAGCCTTTTTAGTTTCTTCACCACAGGTCAGCGTGCAGTTGGTAGAAGCAGAGGAACATGTCAGTGGTTTGATGATTATGGAAGGTTTGGGAACTTCCTCTATCACTTTAACATCATAACGCTGATCCTGGACCTTGTTGTTGATGTCCACTGTGTACAGACCTGTGTGAGTGATATTCATGTTTCTGACTTCCAAACGTCCACTGGTTATGTCCAGGGTTGTGTGGCCTTGAAACGGGATGAAGTAAGTCAAATCAGCTTCACCCTTCGCCCACTCTGCCAGCAGATTACCATTGTGTTTCCACAGGATGTTGGTGATAACTCCAGTGAAAGGAGGCCTCAGGTCTACGTTACCACCAACCGCAACGTATCTAACTTCGGCCAGAGCAGAGTTCAGCACCGCCAGAAGCCCCACTGTCAGGAACCAAAACCCAGACTGTTTCTCCATGTCCACTGATCAGCAAAGGACAGAAATAATTCCGACCGTCATTACACACAAAATGTCGACTGTTAGCTCGCAGCGCGGTGAAAATGCGTCCACACCCTTCTCTTCCTTGTTCTTCTGACGCAACAGAAAAAAGTGTACCGTGAAGAACGAGGTCCCCGCAGATTGTAGGCGTTCTCGTCAGTGCCTGACCTTAATTCGAATATTTTGTTCTTAGTTTTAATCCATAACTCATATCACAAACAGCATTGACTTACTACCACAGCTAGCTCTTATAAATCTAGCAACAATGTACCGTGTATATTGTCGAAATTACACGCGTCCTTCGAAGCGTGAAGGCAGTAACGTTAGCCAGCTATATGAACGTTAGCTAGCTATATATGGATGTTAGCTAGCTACCCGGAGCGACTCCCTTCAGCGACTCACTTGTTTTAACTTGGAAAGAAAAATAAAATAAAGACCCCCAAAAACCGAACGCACACTCAGTATTCCGGTTAAGGATATACTGTTAGGTATTATATTTCGATAGGCAAGTTTTGACTTTTGGCAGGAAATTTTCCAGTTAGCATGGGCGTCACCAGCGGACCCTATTTGATTGGGGAGACGTTATCAATCGTTACACCAGTAGAAACCGAAAGTAAAGAAAACTTCCTTCGTACTTTGAACTACACATAATTTTTAGCTGACATCACGAGGCGGTTTTTGACCATGTAGAAACTGACTTTGTGACAATAATTACATATTATATTACAGTTAAGACAATAGCGAGAAGGATGCTTCAACTCTTATGTAAATATAATGTGCATATTTACCCATAACTACTGTTATTTCTATGAATGCGGCTCTACATAAACACAGCTTTTGTTAATACAGCCCTACATTCTGTCAAAAAGTTTTTAAAATGAAATCCCATTAATTGCTTACACACTGGTTTAATAAAGTTTCTCCAACCTGGTGTTATTAACTAGAGAAGTGTTCATTCTTGCAGACTATGTAAAGGGCCACAATTCAAAACATCATCCCTTAAAGCAAACCTTTCTTTATGACATACCCTGATTTTATTGTATGTAAAAACTAAAAACAACTTTGAAAAGCCTTCTTGTTGAAATGTATATGGACAAACTTGACTAGCCTTAAGGAAGACTATTGGGGAACATAAATGTTACATACTGGACCTTTAATGTAAATCATGTGCTCCCATATCCATGTGTCATTTATTTAATGTCAAATATGAATTCATGTAATATGAATTAACACCATTCAATTGTTTTACACCATGCAGGGACCCCTGAAGCTTTCTCATTAGTAGTCTGAGGGTTATGGAAGAACGCTGCTGTTTCAGTCTCAAACAATATCGGTGACAGTTTGTAATGTGTCCCAAGAAGCTGAAAATCTTCCACACAGTCAGTAAAGCACTGTACTTTAGCAGTGAGAAGAGGGTGGGTATTGGGGCAGATCCTGTTGCTTCACCAAATCCTTTTAGTTCCTCATTTTGGACAAAGAGGATAAACCCTCTCACAATAAATAGTATATCACTGTATTCCTCTCAAGGTGCATCTGCTGGAATTAAAAACAATTAACAAAAGTATAAAACAAGTATAAATCTCTTTAATTTTACAAGCAACTTGAAAATGTCGAGACACTTCTGATACTAATGCAAGTGAAAGTTCATGAGACAACTTTCTAACATTTAGAAGACAAAATGATTAAAAAGTATGTGAGACAGTAATAACATAGTTTAAACTGTTAAATAAACTGTTTTAGTTCTGACAGCGGAGTGGCAGTCTGGATTTCTGAGGTGTCAGCGCAGCTTCGTTTTCTGATGCTTTTGACCTGGCAGGGATCTTTGACTCCTTCTTACCGCCCTTCTTTTGCTGGAAAAGAGAAATGACAAGAATATAGACCTGTTTTTAATTCATACACAGTAAAAGTTTGGCTGAGCATTCCTATGGAAGCTGATCATTCCTATGGAAGCCCAGTATTCCTGGTAAATGAGGGTTTGACCCAGAACCAGGACCCGCAGGAGGTATCAAGCTGTCGTCATAAATCTACTCTGACCTGACAGTCTTTAAGCTGACTGTAACACCTGCTCTCATCCAAGCACAGAGCAGATACTCTGCAGCACGACCTGGCCTCAAATCTACATTGTATCTGCTCAGGCTAAACTGCAGTGGCGGACCCCACTGGCCTGATTGACAGTCCCGCCCCCTTTTTGCTCTGTGCACTAACAGGTGAGAAAGCCTCAGTCAGAACCTCAGTCAACTTTCTGTACTTTAATGTACTTAAATATGCTATTTGCCAGGCTCATCTCAGAGTTTTTTATTTTTCATTTGTTTTTTTTTTTATTTAAGTTAAATAAACCTTAAATTAGTTTAGTTAACTATAATAACTTTGGCTCATCTACATTCAGACAACCAAATATTTATTATGATAAAAAAGATAAAAGCAACATATATAGTTAAATGTTAAGTTAGCTATTGTTAGCAAAACACAAGGTCAGTTACTACCCCTCCCTATGTAAAGCTTCCAGATATTTTTAAACCTTTAATTAAAAATCACATTCAATATTTTTGCCGCTCACCTTGAAGAAGGGAACGCGTTTGCTCTCATTGAAGACGAGGTTCTCGTCGATGAAGGACGGCTCTGTGGCTAAGCTTTCATTACAAGTACTCAGCTCATCCTCCAGAGAGTCCTAGACACAATGAAGAGGAACAAAGTGAAAATGGAGCAGATATGATACAAATACAAGAAAAAAGAAAATGAAAATCAGCAAGCTAACAATATTCCAGCCAGCAGGTGCCATTGTTTGAGTTCAGCTCAAGTGACAGTGTAATAAAACAGTAAACAAAATAACGGTAATAACATAATGGTTATGTGAACTTGGTTACTGGAGGAAGCGTCCCTTTTCCAACAATAGGCACTGTCATATTATAGACAAGTGACGAAAATAGAAAATACAAGTAAACATACGTGGTCAACTTGGCTGTGTTTGTCATCGTCCTCCTCCAGCTCCTCCTCTTCCTCCTCCTCCATGGCGGCCTGCAGCTGCTCATGTTGCCTCTTCAGGCTCTCCAGCAGCTCGCAGCGGCTCCGCGACTTTATCAGCTGCCTGGGATACACAAACTCCCGGCGCTGAGGGGTTGTACCTGAAGGCAACAACAGAGCTGGTTTATGACCTGGACAGGTGAAGGACTTGAAGACAATACACGATACGTAGCACAACAAAAACAAAAGTGTAGTATTCCACCAGAAAAGACACCCAGGTTAAATCACATACCGGTGGGAACATCCTGCTGCAGCTCTTCCTGCAGGAAGCCGTGGACAAGCTGTTGGCTAGTCTCCACATGGTCCTGTAGCTCAGCCTGCTGTTGTTCCAGGACATTCTGATCCAGGGAGGTCCGGTTCTGCACAGCAATCAGAGCCTGCTTCACTTCCTCGTGCCGACCGGTCAGCTCCACCTTGGCTGTTCGGAGCTGTTCAGTGCAGTGCATCTCGACGTTCTTATGAAAAAAGATGAAGGATTAAAGCTGCAGTTTGTTATGATCCAGTGAAACCTCAACCATAAACCCTGAAAACCTTCAAGTACAAATAAAACTATAAAGACAAAAAAGCAGAGGGTATTTTTTTTACCTGATGGAGGGTCTGAGCTTCAGTAGAAATCGTCCCCATCAGGGACAGGTGTTGCTGGGTTTGCGTCTCTGCGTGCTCCCTGGCTCTGGAGCTCCAATGGAGGTCACGCTCGACCAGACCTGCAGTCACAAATCGTCAGCATCAACACTGAAGTACAGTGAACGTATGCAGCTTCAAGGTTTAAATGATAACTGAAGAAATGATGAGTTCGGTACCGGACACAGAGCTGTGGAGATGGGAGCAGCAGCCCGTCATCTCTTCCAGCGTCTGCTGGCTCTCGTCAGCATTCAGACGCAGAGAGGAGGCTAGAGAGGAGGAGGTGGACGAGAGGATGTCCGCCTGTGCCAAGGCCTGACGCTCCACTGTACTGCAACCACTGCAAGATGGGGACAACGTGAAAGAAATGAATACCACAAACTTTTAGTGGTCGATCATTCTTTAACATGATTCGGTAAATAAAAAAACAAAGCAAAAACAAAACTTGCAATTCTTTTTTTAGATTTTGGAGCAGGGAATTATGATGTTTGACCACTTAATCTGATTTGTGTTTGTAGCTCTGGAAGTAAAAGGAAAACCTTTTAGTGTGACTCACCTGCTGATGTTCTCCTGCAGGACCTGTAGAGGTTTCTGCAGAGATTTGGAGGCAGAGTGCAGATCAGTGTAGTCCTTCTGGGCCTCCATGGCCAGCAGGTTGAGCTGGTCCTGCAGACACTGAATGGTCTGCTTCATACCCTAACAAGAGGAAACACATAATGATGATGATGTGAAACACATAAAAATGTCTGCGACCGAGAAGGCTGACCTTTTATAAGTAAGGGAGTGAAAATATTTATTTTAGCCCATTTTGAGTGATACCATTTTGTTACATAGATTGGTGTACAATTTAATAATGTTTGACCACTTGAAAATGTATTTTAAAAAAATCAATTCATGCTGTGATATGGTATCAAAAACTGTTCCAGACATTACTCACAACGTCTTATTGTCAATGTAGCTAGGAAAGCCACACATCCTCTGAATGCCATTTTATACAATGAGGTCAAGTTTCAAAAAATGACCTCGCTACAATGAAATGGCTTCTAGGGGCTGACATCATCATCATCAATCCCCATGAGTCTCAGCTTTCCAGTTACACCCAATTTATGCAATTCCAATAGAGTTTATTAACCGCAGTATGCAGGAATACAGCCAGCTCTCTTTCTACAGTGAGTTTGCCTCTGTGTGCTCTGACCAGTGCTCAGATAAGAAGCCGTTCTTGTAGTTTCATATTACACCAGTTTCTTCATTCTTTAAAACTAGACTGAAAGAGATAAAGAAATGTCTTGTTGCAGAAATCTAAACTCATGACTTTCTCAGCTGAACTGTTTCTAGTTTTCAGTTTATTTTTAAGGGGACAAAAGATCTGGTTGTAAAAAAGCTGCTTCATTTGTTTAAATTTCTTACCGTCTGGTGTCTCTCCTGCGCCCGTCTGATCTCATCCTCCAGCTTGTCATGTTCAGTCTGCAGTGA